AGATGTTGTCCAAGTTTTTTTTTAATTCAGGGAGTTCGACAAAAGTTGACTCTCTAGAGTTAAGGATCGTTTCAGACTTCATATTCAAACGAGTACAAACTATGAAAAGACATTTTCTTTAGAGAAAACATTGCCGGAATGTTCTTAGTTTTAATAAATTATATTATATTTTGATAAGAAAGATTTTGGTGATCCACCCTGTATAAGGGAGATGTTGCCTAAAACGTATTTTCTTCTGACACTTGCTTAAATTTAAATCTAAATTAGTTATTGAAAGCATTTGAGTGAAGTGTGATATCGAGGCTTATTCTCCAAACACTTATAGTTTAGTTTTGGAAATTGACCTATGCTCTGTTATGAACTATTTTTCGACGATTCTGATTCAAGATCTGACTAGATTCAGTTTGATCCTACGAGGATCATCACCTGTTATCTTTTGATAACAGATCGGCTGCCGATTTGGCGATTTACGATTCGACTCTAACTCATTCTCGCCACTCAACCCAAAGGCCTTAGCCCCTGTGGGTTGAATTTGCTTCCTTGAGGTTTTTACCTGAACTTTTTTGGAATAGTCATTTAAAAAAACGTACTGAATATTTTATAATGCAAGGTTGGAAACAAATTGAGGTTTGTACGGTTAAGGTGAGGGTATGAGTGCAGAGAGTGGTTGAAGTTGACCCCGTGTAGTGCGTTTTTTTTTCTATTGGATCCTTGATGTGACTGCAGGTATAAATTGTGAATGGAAGTCTAACTTTGACTTGCCGGCGATCATATGTATATTTTTGAAGGGAGTCGCACATTGATTGTGAGAGCGTTCGCCATGCGTTTTTTCTATAATTTTATTTGTTTATATATGGTATGTTCTTTCGATTCAATATGACCCCACATATTGGTCAAATAAACTTGCATCAAGACGTCCGTAGCAGTTGTCAAAGTTAAACCCCTTAACCTATTTCCAGACCTCGAATGATGGAACTTCACTTTCAGTGTTAGGGGCGTCTAACTTTGACAAAGGGTTGAGGCTCGCCTACCACTCATCCCCGTAGGGTGCCGAAGAGGGTAGGAGTCGCAACGGCCTTGACGGTTGTTTAGTGTCAAGAGATTAATCCCTCAAGGCGCGTGTCAGCCGACACTTAAGAGTCAAAAGTGACCCTCAAGACCATTGAGGGTCACGTGATTATGGGTACTACATAGTACATCATCACTACGACTGCTTGCGTATTCATGCATGGTTAGTTGATATGAGGAAACTTGCATCCACACGGTATTTATTTTAAGTCTCACAGGCGATGCTGAATCGATTCGTGTGTTATATATGGGTTGGGTACAAAAAAGGACTAGGAGTGTTTTGTGTGTGTGATTTGAGTTTTTTTTTGTGATGTAACGCGTGGTAAGATTGAACGCCCTAGTCGATCGACGTCAAGTCGCACTTGGGACGTCAGCCCCCCACTGCGTCGGCTCGCGTACGGGTTTGATGGAGGTGCGCGACCACTCGTACTCCCTATGCTACAGCGTACAAGAAACGTCATTGAGTGGGCTACCTCTGCGATTGCAACTGAGTAGCTTTCGCATGTGGTTCGGTAGTTTGGCGGGGATACGCCTGTCAAAGGGTGGTGACAACCCCTTGGGCAGAGGTAAGTTGTACATCACTTGACCCTATTCTGTCGTAGGGGTTCGTGGGAGGTATGGTTGGCGCACTCGGCCGGAGCGACAAAACTCCACCACGAAGAAGTCTTGCACAAATCCTGCGTGACGCAGCCGGAAGGGTCCCCCCCCTGTGAGACCAATGCGCTCAACACCACGACACCTGCTTCGTGTCAAAGCGCTCTTCGTCAAGGGGTTGGTCAATTCCTCCGTATGGTTGTACGATCCTTGGACATGCGTCAGGGTAGCCGCTATCACCGATGTGGTAGCTCCTCATCACAACGCCATGTAGAAGAAACTTTGGTGGTCCGCCGAACAACTTGTCGTTTTCTGCGCACCTCCACAAATGTGAATTGTGCATGACATGGATGTCCTGCACACCGCCCGAGTATCCAACTTGGACGAGTAATCAGGCACGTCAACCACACACTGCAACAAAGCCCTGTAGTTGTGCAACTGCAGACGCATTCCGTGGTATGTGGATACACTCTCCCTCTCAACGTTGAGAACAATAGTCGTCACTACCAGCACTGTCGTGTCCCTCTCTTTCAGCAGACAACACATGGCCGCCACCACCAACATCCACCTCCATCGCCAACCTTGCGCCCATGCTGGACTTCGACGTCACCAGCCTGTTGCTGCCGCCTCGGAAAACGTCACACCCTGCTCCGCAATTGGGAATTGGTAGGCGAAACATAACCAAAGCTCCCTGCATGCTCCTTGCGCACCGTTTTCGTATGTCATCGATGGCGGTCCGGCCCTATCCCATCGCCCTTGCCCAGCCCTGCAGGAATTCAAATTCGAATTATCGAAAAACTTTCCGCGCGCTTATTTTTTTCCCACCCTTAAACCAGCTGGGGTCCGCATCTTTGTGTACCACGGACACAGGACGACAATGGGCAGACATCGGCGGTGAGACTCGTATACACATATGAAACAGGCCGCGGGATACCATTTAGGACTAGTCCTAAAAGCTGTACTTTTAAGATTCTTCTAACCAAAACACAGCGAGTCCTAAAAATCTCTTAGGACTCGTTCTAAACCTTTTAGGATTCTTTCAGGAGTGTCTAATGAGACCCTTGGTCCAAGAAAAATCTACAGCTATAGGGCACTTAGATTGGACCAATCAAAATTTTTCTTAGAGTGATAGCAACCGTGAAAAAAGAGAAGGAAAGCCAACAGAAAACCACCCTCTTTCGAAGTTGAAGGGTCATATGTGCCACCCCTTCCCTCCTAGGTTGAGGTAGGACATGCCCCTTTGCTCGTCGGTTGAGTTAGGACGTCCCGTGCCAGCCTCATGGCTATTTCTGTACGGAGAGAACTTTGTCAGCTGGTTTTCATTTTCGGTTTGCCTGAGTTCTGGAAGTGGAGGTGCCAAGGTCCTAGAACTATGGGCCTCCCTCCACTACTCTCGACATTCACAAAAGAGAAAAGTAATTGCGGTGTATCTTTCCATGTTCTAGCAGAAGATTCACTCTCATTTTGCTCATGTCCAGAATAGTGGAGCCAGGTCCTATTGCTTGGCTCCGAGAAAGTCTGAGGGCATACTAAGACTGAGACATAAAATCCCAAATTCCCCAAGACAAAGGGTAGACTCGCGGTCGCAACGATTTCCTGTTCGTGTGCCCATTTGTCAGCGGCCTGGGAAGCCGTGGGGCAAGGGATTTTGCGGGCACCTTGTGGTCACCTCCGGAGGTGACCACAAATGCTCTTTTAAATTTTCCAATTTTCTTCAAAATTTGGCAAAATCCGTTCACCAAAGTTCCCAGCGAGATTGACAGAAATTACGGCTGCTCTATGAGGCTCGCCACACAGGCTGTCGAAAACCAGGTTTTCGGCAATTTTGCATGGCCACACAAGACTTTCGAAGAATTGCGGCTCAAAAAAACTTCGACAGGTGTCAGAATGGTACGCTCTCAGCCACCCTCCCCCATTCTTTTTTTTTTTTTTTTTTTAAAAGCTATATTYTTCTCTCAATTTCACCTCACACTACCTACCTACCACTACTCCTAATTGTAGGCATATGGGGAACCCTGTAGCAGCCAGAACCGTGTTCACGAGAGAACATGCCGGTGGGCGATACCGGCTAGGGGACAGCCGGTAGCATCAGGGACCATGCCAACAGGACCAGTCCCTGTGCCTCCCCTCAGGTCCCCTCCCCTATGAACATCAGCAGACTCTGCTAAATGCCAATCGGGGGATCCAGTGGTCTATCCTTCCCTCCCGCCTGCAGGAGACGGAATTCGAAAGTGCCCCACCTGCCTTCCGAGAATCGCATTCGAATTTGCATGGTCAGGGACTTCCGTAACAGCCGTGCCCTGTCGAAAGGCGGATTCCATTTGGCCATGACCAAAAACCTCCCCCCTCCACAGCCTGTGTGGTGAAAGGAGGGTAAACTGTAGACCTCCGACTTTCATTTCTTTCTGACAGCTGAAAGAGTTTCGACAGCCTGTGGCGTGCCTCTATGTGACGGGCGAAGCCCCAAATCCCCATTTCTCCGCAAGGTGCCGGCCTTGTCCTAGTAGTCATTGTGAAGGAGTGTGACCAAAAACCCCAAATTGCCCTTTCTGCGGATCTGGGGTCGCAGTATGAGTATGCCCTGAGACCGTAGTGCAAGGTGGAGTTGTGACGGGCGAAGCCCCAAATCCCCATTTCTCCACAAGGTGGGGGCCTTGTCCTATTAGTAATTGTGAAGGAGTGTGACCAAAAATCCCATCGCAAATTGGCCCTTCTGCGGATTTGGGGTCGTAGTATGAGTATGCCCTGAGACTGTAGTGCAAGGTGGAGTTCTCCAAAATCGAAGAGGCACGATGAGATAGATGAGTACTAGCAAGAAAAATGAGACAGATGAGAGAAGAGGCACTGAATATCCCTTTTTCCCCTTCTTTTTATCGAAAGGCCGGCGGCCATCATCGAGCTGACCAGCCCCAGGCAATTCAGAAATTATTTCAGAAATTATTTGGTTTTACTCATCAAGTTCCATCATCTGGATTCGATCACAGGCCTGCATTTCAACAATTCATGGGTGTACCCACTGAGCAGGGCTCTTGGGTATGCAACATCGCACGCCAAAGCCCAGGACACATGGTCTGCCTCTAGGCTGGAAGCCCAAATCCTTGGATCCGCTGCTGAAATTGCGCGTTGCCCAGGCTGACCATGCGGTAGTTGAGTCCTCTCCTCTCGGACTTGCCGACCGCGAAAAACCAACCGCGTTTATGACTCCGCACCGTCAATACCTCGGAATTTTCGACTTGTTTAGGGCGAGTTTTTCCTCGCCACGTGCCGACGCTCACCGGGCTGGCCAGACAGAGGCTCCGTTTTGTTATCGTGGTGTCCTCCTGGATCTGCAGGTCATCAGGCGCAGGCGGTGCTGGCTGTGATAGTGGTAGTCCGTTGTCCTGTCCTCAATCTCCGCACGATCCCTCGTCTTCAATCTCCACAACGCCGAGTGGAGGCGGGAAACAAACCCCGCCCGCCTCCAAAACCAGGGAGAGAGAGAGAGAGAGAGAGAGAGAGAGAGAGAGAGAGAGAGAGGATATGGCGACGTTGGACGTGGACAGCATTCTCGGGGATGCTCCTCATCCCATCGCGAAGACGAAGATTATTTGCACGCTGGGACCGAAATCGAGGGATGTGCCCATGCTGGAGAAGCTGCTGAAGGCCGGGATGAACGTTGCTCGGTTTAATTTTTCTCATGGAACGCATGAGTATCACCAAGGCACGTTGGACAACCTCCGCCAGGCGATGATTAATTCTCAGATCCTCTGTGCTGTACTTCTCGATACCAAGGTATGCCGCGCTTTCCACCATCATTTCTACTCTCTCTCCCTCTGTCTGTGTGCGTGTGCGTGTGTGTGTGTGTGTGTGTGTGTGTGTGTGTGTGTGTGTGTGTGTGTGTGTGTGTGTGTGTGTGTGTGTGTATCTTTCTCTCTCTTCGCACTGCCTGGTTTGACTTCCCGATCTTCAGGCATTTGCCGCGTTTTGCCTTCAAGTTGCTGCGCGTCTCTCGTCGGTCAATGACGTTCCGCGCAGGCTTACTCAATCTACGGGGCGATCCGAAGTAGTGTTGAAGGTTGATTTGGACGTCTTCGCTCTCTCTCTCTCTCACCCACACACGTGGCAGCTCTCTCTCTCTCTCTCTCACTCCCTCTCTCTCTCTCTCTCTCTCTCTCGAAAACAAGCAAATCTGAGTGTTGTTTGTAGAGTTTTATGACACGGGTATATGCCCTTCCTAGTGCACGTTTTCTATCTGTTCGCTATCTGTTTCGCCTTTTCATTCTCACTGCTTGTCAACCTCGTCGTATTTCGTCTTTTATATCTTTTGAAGTGTTGTGGCCCTTGTCGTCATCGTGGTTAACTTTTGCGTTGCTATCGTGACCAATCGTAGCCACAATCCAATGAAGCCACTGCATGTGATAGACCGACTTTGTTTGCGTGCGGTGGTGGGTGATAGAAAAGAGCAAGGTGAATCACAACGGCGGCGGCAGTAGATGCACACAAAGCAATGCAAACGCGAAGAAGCGCCTTGCCCCGCGCCAAGCGGTGCCTCTCAAGATGTTTGCCAGACATTGATTGAAATAGGAAGAAAGCACGGAATGTAGTATTTTGAAACAGGAAACGAGACGTACTGCAGTGAATCATGACGGCCTACTTCTTCGTGCCGTGCTTCTTATGCTACCGTAGGTGTCTGGGCCTTTTTCATCATCATCTGCTTCTTTCCCGCCCCTGAATAGTCCGTTGTGAATCAGCTGCCTGCTTCTCAATTGGCTGTGTCGGTATTTGTCGTCGCATGGTTTGATTGATCTTCTCTCTCGTCCGCTCCCCTTCCCCCCCCCCTCCCCAGGGCGCGCCACCCCCCTCCACTTGTTCTTCTTTTATGTACGCTTTTTGGAGTTCTGGAAGCCCGTTCCCCTGCCAGCTCTCAGCCATGTGGTGCTCCCTTGTACCTCAGCGGTGTCTTTTCTCTCTCTCTCTCTCTGATTTGTCTGGGGAGGTTTCAGTTTCCCCATCGCCACAGCTGTCTTCTGCTGCTTCCCTCTCCTCCTTATCTTCCTATCAGGCTTTTCGAAGATAGCCTACAAGCTGATTTGTCTGGGCCTCGATCCGATGCCGAGGCTTTGCCAAACGTCTTTTTTTTTTAATTCGCTTCACCGGCGTTGCAGTATCGTATCTTGTCGTGTTCTCTTGGAGAGACTCCGTTTCCTTTTCGATTGCCTGCAGCACTACCGTCTTCCCCCGAACACAACGCACCCCCATTTTGCCTGTATCGGCCCGGAAACATACCTTGTATACGTTCAGTTTCAGGGTGCGTTATGTTTGGGGAAAGACGGTAGTGTATTTCTCGCGCTCATTGCTTTTTTTTGACATATAGAGATCCGACAACGATATGCGGGAGATGCTTCAATCCTCTCTTTGTCTCCCTCTCTCTCCCTCTCTTTCCTCTCTTTCCTCTCTTTCTCTTTGACGGCTCCTTGGCTCCGTCTTGCACAGCGCTCTGACTACTCTTATGTGTTCTGCGTACAGTGAATCCTCTCTTTGTCTCCGTCTCTCCTTGGCTTCAATCCTCTCTTTGTCTCCCTCTCTCCTTGGCTTCAATCCTCTCTTTGTCTCCCTCTCTCCTTGGCTTCAATCCTCTCTTTGTCTCCCTCTCTCTCCCTCTCTTTCCTGTCCTTTTCTTCTTACCAAAAGTGAATGTGAAGCACGCCGGAGCTGCGAACAGTAATTTCTTTCGCACATACAATTTACGATTCTTGATGATTACGGTAGTTTATCTGTGTAGTAGGTACTTTGGATACCGTGTTCACTTTTTTTTTTCCCCGCTGCCGCCCACTCTCCCTCGAAAAGAGTTCACCCCGGCCAATCTGCTGTTGTCTCTTTAGGGATGTGTGCGTTGCTCCAGTTCCAAAAAGCCCTTTTCGTCTGATGCGCTCATTCATCCATCCCTTCACCCATCCTCTCGCCAGACGAGACTGTGGCTTGGTTGTCGGGGTCCGGTCGCGTATGTTTTATTCATTAGCGGTGTATTTTACCTATTTCGGATCGCAAGGCGGAGAAATCTCCCTCCCGTCGTATCTCCCTCCCGTGGGTGGGTGGAGATCTCCCTCCCGTGGGTGGGTGGAGATCTCCCTCCCGTGGGTGGGTGGTTGTTTAGAGAGAGCGAGTGTCACACCAGCCAACATCATTCCGTGAGGGATTCCATGATTCCGAATTTCAGTGGAGGATATAAGGGCCTAAATCATTTTGTACGATCTAAAAAACAAAAACAAAAAAAAACTGCCAATCTGTAGCAGTAACTCATTCTCCCTTATAAGGAGGTGATCCAGCCGCACCTTCCAGTACGGGGCTGCCTTCTTACGACTTCGCTCCAGTCGCTAGCCCTGCCTTCGGCATCCCCCTCAAGTAATCCAACGAAGTAGCTGGGGGAGGAGAAAGATCTGCCGAGGTAGGTAGGTCATCAGACGTGGAGAGGGCAGAGGAGAAGAAGAAGGGATCAGAAGCTTCCGCGCGCTCGCTCTTGGGTCATGTGGTAGCACCAACTAGCTGGCAATCCACCGTTGGCTGTTTTTTTTTTCTCTCTCGCCGAGGAGATAGATCTGCTGAGGCTGCGGACGCGTGTGCTAGATTGAGCCACAACAGAGCTGCACACCGTCGGAAGACGGTTGGGTTTCAGGAGGAAATTCGACCGTAGCATAGCTTCTGCTGCTCGATCGCCCGATCTTTGTTCGGGGAAGGCCGGGGAGCATCATCTGGAGAAACGCGACCGGGAAAATCAGTTAGTGGTAATATCAGCGAATTAGAGAATGTAGAGCCCGAAAAATTAGTCCCAGGATTAACGAGTGATTTAAGTAAGTAATTCGAAGCTGTGGGAGGGGAAAATACCAAAAAAAAAAAAAAAAAAAAAAGTGTTAAAGGATTTAAAGCGGGAAAATGGTAGCAGTTTTAATTCGAAAAAAAAATACAGCCCGGATATCAGCCCTACAAGCAAAGCAGGTGTGGGGCTTGGATCCGTGTAGCATGGTGAGCAACCAAAGAGTACTTCGCGTACGCCATGCTTAACACGGATCCAAGCCCCACAAGCAAAGCGGGGGTAAGGTCCCACTTGCACGGATTAAGAGATTCTGGCCGTAGATGTTTGCTATCTACGATCAGTGTCGCTTAATTCGTGTAAGTGGGACCTAACCCCAGGTTTGGGGCTTGGATCCGTGAATAGAAGAAACGGTTGTGAGCCCGAGAACGTCCACGGTCGAGTACTTCGCTTACGCCTGGGGCTTTGTGGCAGATGTAGGCGGAGGACAGTCCTACGGTAGGTGCCGATGCCTGAGTGTAGGAGGTAATAGGAAGCTAAAGAGAAGGTATTCTGGAGCTACGGACTACCTTCTTCCCCCGAATACAACGTACGGTCATTATAGCTGTATCTAGACTGAACGATGTCTCAAATACATCTATAATGACCGTACGTTGTATTCGGGGGAAGAAGGTAGTACTTACAGAGGGTAAGGCCGTACCAGCCACTTATAGCGGATGGTGGAAGGCAGGGCTTGGGTGGTTTGCCTCCTTGATGAGACGAGGAGCGCAGCTCCTCGTGGAGACGCGTAAAGGATGATGATGCGCAAACTTGAGCAAGTGTTTACTCGTTGTTTCTGATGAAGTTAGTTCTGCGTGTATGAGAGCAACTTGGCCATTGCTTGTGACTTCTGTCTCGCCGATGGATGGGATGGATGTATCGATAGATGAATGGATGTATTGATAGATGGATGGATGTAAGGATGGACAACGTAGTTCTTTAAAAGATCTTTCGATCAACGTCCTCCCTAATACTATGGCGGCCTGTCTGAGTGGGCGGTGCCTTTATGTGGGAATCATCATCTGGGATTTTGTCTTTTATGTTTTTTGTCCCAGTACGAACGGTTTATAAATGGGGATACCAACGTCTTGACGCCTAACAAGGCCATCTGCTGTATATAGATATGTAAGCTGGGATTCCTTCTTTTTGCAGACAAGAGTTTTGTCCTGGGTGGTCTTGTCCCCTCGTTTGGCCTGTGAAGGAGGGCCGGTGCTTGCATGTGGGACTTGTCATCTAGGATCGGTTTTTGGTGCTGTTGCTTGCTTGTTGCCCCCTGTTTTGTTGTATTTGGCTGTTCCCTTCCCTTCCTCTTTTTCTTTGCCTCTTTGCCCTTTGGCTGTGTGCAAGTGGGTCGATATGACACAGGGGGGTGGGGGCAGCCGCCGCTCAACCTACATCCACGTGGGCGGCCTTGTACGCAAGAGACTCTGAAGAGGGGGAGTTGTAAGAAAATAGATAAAATAAACGAATTATTTTTTTGTTGTTTTCTTCTGTTTTTTTTCGCCTTTCCCTTGTCTTTTTCGCTCTCGCGCTCTGATATTCATGTATATATATATCTTATGTGATGATATATATCTTCATCATGTGACAATATATGTATCTTCGAACCTTATGTATATAGGTAGATGTATAAATATATACGTCTTTATGTTGTCCGTTTCCATGCCGTGATTCAAGTGAAAGGTTGTGGGGGAATGGCGCGGTATGAAAAATCAGTCCTGTATCTGTATCAGGGGCAGTGTTAATCGGAGTACTTGGGCCGTGAGATGGGAGCATATGCAGATGCTGAGTGGTCTTCTCTTCTCCCCCCGCGGAAACCCTATTTACGGCTCCATCTCATCATTCATTCCTTTTCTTCCGTCATTCATTTCTGGTCTTCCGTGGTGCTGCCGTACTTTGACAAAAAATGCAGACCTGCGTTAGGAACCAGACGAATGAAAAATGCCGCCTGAGTTACGCGCTGTGGCCTCGGTCCGTTCGACGATGACATCTCTTCGAGGCAGGCGCACTTTTTTCTTCTTTTTGTAAAGGAAAAAGAGTGTGAATCGCCGTTGGGTTGTTTTCTGAATATCATATGAACTACGTATTTTTTTATTTTTTATTTTTTTAAACTACGTAAAATTTGGTAGGTACCGTGCTGCCATTGTCCTCCTGTTCCCTATTTTTTCTTGGGGAATGATGATCTTTTGCGATGAATCGTGAGTATGAGGCGCCTCGGGGTACGAAAACAAATTGTGACTTTTATAGGAACTTGATTGATTGATTGATAGATAGATGTCGGTGTGCATATCATATCATTCGTTTCAACTTTGTATGCTTCCTTTTTTTTTTTTTTGAAGTTTTTCAAAAGTTTACGTTGAAAAAGGGGCTGCGTAAAAAAAAAGAAAAAAGAAAAAAAAGAAAAAAGAAAAAGAAAAAGGGCCTGCGTGACTGGCATTTTGCTTTGTCTAGCAGGCTTTGAATGAACTCTTGGTTGGTTAAGTACTATAGTCGCTAACAGTCGGATGCATGCGCGGTGCAGCCGCAGTCGGGTGGCTCTTGATCTCTTCTCCGTTGTGAGGGGGTATAATGTACATAGTAGTATACGCAGACAGGCGCGAAAGGATCTCTGGCACATGTCTATACTTCTTTTTCTTTCTGACATTTCGAGGCACAAGATTCGTTTGCGTTGCGTTGCTACGCGTCGAGTGAGTCGTCACGTCACGACTACCTTCTTCCCCCGAATACAACGTACGGTCATTATAGCTAGCTGTATTTGAGACATCTTTCAGTCTAGATACAGCCATAATGTCCGTACGTTGTACTCGGGGGAAGAAGGTAGGTAGGTAGCTTTTTTATTCCGGTCGGTGCAAACGCGATGAGAAGTTGGCATCGTTGTTACGACGTTCTTTTTCACCGACGGCAAGGTCGGCGGTTACGTTGCTCTTTCCTGGACAATACCAACTCAACTCATCATGGGCGCAGGCATGACGACCGACCGGTCGTTGTCCTGTTTCTATGAAGATCGGCCGGTCGATGATCACATCTCGCCGCCGCCGGGTGAAGTCCTATCGAGAATCACCGGTGCGGGAGACTCTTTTGCTGCAAACACGAGTCAGGGGTTCGTCAGAGACCGACCTCCCAAAACAGGAATGAAATGAAGGGATCGACCTCCCAAAACAGGAATGAAATGAAGGGATCGAACGTCAGGGCAATCGATACGGCTTCGTGTGAAGCCTGCGGTGCGAGTTAACCGACGAAGAATTTACTGTAGTAACTGGGTCGTTGTTGGCCGGATATCGCTGTCCTTCTCCTTTTTAGGGGAAAAATCAATCACCACCAGCCGCGGCCAGATTCGAGTGAAGGCAAGGCAGGCTTTTGGGTGAGGAAAAGGGGATGGATGCGGCAGCAGCTTCTTCTGGAGCGTTGGAAAAGCAGAGCTACCGTCTTCVCCCCGAGAACACAACGCATCCTCGTTTTGGCCGGATCTGGCCGGAAATATAGCTTGTATTCGTTCATTTTAGGGTGCGTTATGTTCGGGGGAAGACGGTAGAGTGACGGCAAGGCAGGCTTTTGGGTGAGAAAAAGGGGATGGATGCGGCAGCAGCTTCTTCTGGAGCGTTGGAAAAGCAGAGCTACCGTCTTCCCCCCGAGAACACAACGCATCCTCGTTTTGGCCGGATCTGGCCGGAAATATAGCTTGTATTCGTTCATTTTAGGGTGCGTTATGTTCGGGGGAAGACGGTAGAGTGACGGCAAGGCAGGCTTTTGGGTCGTGGAAATGGAATATAGCGGGGTAATTCTGATATGATGAGACTAAGGGTTGGACACAGAAAAAGCGAGCGCACAGCATGCCCGCTGTCTAGGGATCTTCTGCTTTTGTGGTCGATGACCCTTGACTGGTTTACATGTTCAGCGGCTACCTTCTTCCCCCGAATACAACGTACGGTCATTATAGCTGTATTTGAGACATCTTTCAGTCTAGATACAGCCATAATGTCCGTACGTTGTATTCGGGGGAAGAAGGTAGCTACTTGATGGATGGATGAATGGATGAATGGATGTTCCCATTGTTGTTAATTTCTTTGGTAGGGTGAGTGCTCTGGTCGCCGTGACGCCTATATTCGGGAGGTTGTGCACGGGCTTCTCGCTGTTGATGCCATTGCGCGGGCCGCGTGCGCTTCTTCTCGACGCACTCTCGATCGGCGTCTTGTACTGGTAACAAGTACTGATTGATTGACCATGTTCCAATCATGTGTGGCTTTTCTGTTTCTGGGTGTGTATGTGGGAACGAGTGAGTATTTGTGCGTTTGCTGCCTGTGTGTGGTTGTGCATTCTTTGTCGCTGTCTAACACACTGAGAGGTATCCGTTTGTTTGTCTCTCGCGCAGGGTCCTGAAATCAGAACAGGCAAACTGAAAGAGGGCAAGCCAGTTCAGCTCATGCAAGGGAAGGAGATCGTAATCTCGACGGACTACAGTCTGGAGGGCGATGGCGACACCATCACCATGAGCTACAAGCGGCTGCCTGTGGACGTAAAGCCAGGGAACACTATTCTCTGCGCAGATGGCACCATCACTCTGACGGTGCTGGAATGCAGTCCCACACAGGGAACGGTGAGGTGCAGGTGTGAAAACAGTGCCATGCTCGGCGAGCGAAAGAATGTCAACCTCCCTGGAGTCATCGTCGAGCTTCCCACCATCACCGAAAAAGACAAGGAGGACATCCTTGGTTGGGGTGTCCCGAATTCGATCGATTTCATTGCGGCATCCTTCGTCCGCAAGGGGCAGGATGTCATCAACATCAGAAGGATCCTTGGACCTCATGCAAAAACTACGAAGATTATCTCGAAGGTAATAATGTCAGTCCATCTTATTAACCCTTCTTCACCCATCTGTAGTGGCGGTTCTGAATCTCTGGCCATTGATTTGACATCCATCCATTCCCTTTCTGCAAGGGTGTCTGTGTGTGTGCGCATGTAATAAGCTGTTTTCTTCTTCCAATTGCTGCCTCTCCTTGACTTGTCTGTCTTTGTGCGTTTGGATTCTTCTTGCAATGACCAACCATTCATCTCTTCGGGTTCGATATCCGTCTCGCAAGTCTGCATGGAGATGGCCCCCCCTCCGACCTACCCTGCAAGACAAACCCCTGATCGCCCAAATGATATGCTTGTAGCAGCCAAACACTCGCTCCAAGGGGGTTAGTACCCTCCTCCTAGAAAAGACCCGTCGGTTCGATAAAGTTTATTTTCAATATATGTATGCGCCGAAAAGAGTCTTAACGTTTGTGAGACGGCAAGGTCAGTGAAGTGAATCCTCGTGAATGCATGGCAGTAACCCAGTAGGCTCTGAAAGTAGGGAACTGTGTGTGGGTGCTGCTGTCTGCGACTTGTTCAGGCAGGCAGCAGCCAGTTCATGCTATATGCCAATGTCGCACTCTGTGAATTACTCAAAATATATATATGTGCTTGCTTGCGTCACTGTGCTCTTCTTAGGACGAATGGTCTACGTGCGGAATTCATTCAGCTCCTCCTTTCTACTTCTAGCCTAGTGGATTGGATATTATGGCTTCTTTCATGAATGAAATTCTCTTTTGGCTGTTGTCTCGTGTGCCCAACGTTGCCTGGCCTGCTTATGTTTCATGACAATTGCTTTCCTTTGCCCCCCCTCTTGTTTTTTTTTAATGTTTTTTTTTATTGTTTGTCCGTCCAGATCGAGAACCAGGAGGGGCTTGTGAACTTCGATGACATTCTGAGGGAGACCGATGGAGTGATGGTTGCCAGAGGGGACCTGGGAATGGAGATCCCCACTGAGAAGATCTTCCTTGCGCAGAAGATGATGATCATGAAGTGCAACTCCGCTGGAAAGCCTGTCATAACGGCGACACAAATGTTGGAGTCGATGATAAAGTCTCCTCGCCCTACTCGTGCAGAAGCCACCGATGTGGCCAATGCGGTTTTGGACGGAACCGATGCCGTCATGCTGAGTGGGGAAACGGCCGCGGGAGCCTATCCTGAGGAGGCGGTGAAGGTGATGTCGCGAATTTGCCGGGAGGCGGAAGCCTCGCTCGATTACCATGCAATCTTCAAGGCCATCATCAAGGAGACTCCCCTGCCAATGAGCCCGCTGGAGAGTCTGGCCTCGTCCGCGGTGAGAACTGCCAACAAAGTCAGGGCCTCGCTCATCGTTGTGCTGACGAGAGGAGGCAGTACTGCAAAGCTTGTGGCAAAGTACAGGCCGTCCATCCCGATTCTCTCGGTTGCTGTGCCTGTTCTTACCACCGACAACCTGTCTTGGTCCATCAGCGAGGAGGCGCCTGCGCGGCAGAGCTTGATCTGCCGAGGTCTCATTCCCCTTCTCGCAGAGGGAGCAGCAAGAGCGACCGACACCGATACAACGGACGAGATCCTGAACGCAGCGCTGCAGTGGTCAAAGAACAGAGGACTCATCAAGCCAGGAGACTGCATCGTGGCTCTCCACAGGATTGGTGTCGCTGCGGTGATCAAAATCGTTGACATCAAGTGAGCTGCATCTTCAACGAAACGGGTGCAGTGAAACGTCGACCAGAACTATCCAGCCGTGCTGTTGCACATATGCCACGAGAGGATTTGGAGCGAGGGACGATGCTGTTCATGGTTCAGGTCTGCGATTGCGATTGCGGTGAGTCGTCCTGTGATGGTGTGAATTGGTGCTGCGGACAATATCCTCACGGCGATGTGGCGTCTACTTCATGGGAGTAGCCTCTATGTTCGGTATGTGTTGGCCTTGTTTGCACTGGTATTGACGGTCCGGAAGTGCAGTGGGTTGCAGTGGGAGTAATTGTGGTTCTGGAGATCATCAATCTTTCACATGAACTGCATGTGCAGTGCAGCGGCAGCTGCGTCAATTGCTCGATAAATTTTCTGCACCCATGACGGCTGAGATGATGCCGAATGTGCTGCGCATGGTGAAACAGATGTGCATCGGAGATGTGAATTTCGTGGCTCCGTGGTGACATGCAGAGATGGGCGATAGTCGTTTCCATCAGTCAACGTGAAGCTGGAGGAAATTGCTTCGATTTCAAGATGCGACGCTTGTGCTTATTAAGTGAAAAGCTCAAGCTTGTCTGAAGGAATGTATTATGTGGCACATTTCATTATTAGTACGGTCTTAGAGCACCACTATACCCAATGGCGTCTCTTCAAATCGCCCTTGTGTTCAAGGAAGGGTTTGAGTGGCAGTCCGCTCCCTCTCTCACTACTCTGCCATTCTCTCTCTCTCTTTCTCTCTCTCTCTTTCTCTCTCTCTCTCTCTCTTCTCCTTCTCTCTCTGCCGCTCGTCAAATGGACAACCCTCCGTCTGTCTCCCTCTCTCTCTTTGCCGGCCGGCCAGTCGGTCCATCCACTGTCTCTCTCTCTCTCTCTCTCTCTCTCTCTCTCTCTCTCTCTCTATCCTCTCACTCTCTCTGCATATCAATCTATTCATCCACCCCCCCATCCATCCACCCACCCACGCATCCATCCCACCCACCATGCGTCCATCTACTCGTCTATCTATCTATGTATTATCTATACATGTATTGGATCTATACATGTATTGGATTGGCTGGCCTTGCGCTGCCCAGGCCGCGCGCCGGACAGTTCCTTCAGTATTTGTACATCACCTTTGTTTCCAGTTCTTCGCAAAAAAATGGAACCTCATTGTCGAGGATTTGCTGTTATTCCGTCATGTGGAAATGAGACAACAATCATGGATTCGAAAATTCCTACCGCTCGCTTTGTCTTGCCATCTTCATTTTGTGATCTTCTTCCCCTCTTGCAGTCATGGCTCCTTATTTTTCGGTTCAGGGTTTTCCCTTTATGCTCAAATGCATATCAAATAACTTTCTTCAAGCAGCCCAACACTGCCTTTGCACGTCACTTCCACTTTGTTGTTTCCCTCTTTTGTTTTCCGGTCTGGCACCCACCCTTCCTCTCTCTCTCTCTCCCAGTCATGGCAGCATCCACCATATTCCTTTCTGACGAAGGCAGAGCTTGTGCTGGCCCTTAATATCATTGCCTCGAACCCACCGCTAATCCCGATGGACTCTTCAGATTGCCCGTGCGTACAAGGAGGGATTTGTGGTGCAGCCTGCCAGACAGCCTGCAGGGGAGACTTAGGGTGACTTCACAACGACACAGTCACTGCTGACCTGCGCTGTTGGATGTTTTTTCCTTACATCAAGAGTCCGATGAGATGCAGATGTATAGCCCGGCGGTCCGTGCCTGAGGTTCGGTGACCTCAGGGCCAGTGGAGAGCGACAGGTCCGGGGAAGGGTCAGCGACAGCGGTGTTTTTGAAGAGGATGATTCGTGGGAGAGTGAAGGACGTTCATATGTGGCCGATTACGCGTGTTTGGTCTGTGTGAGATGATGACGTTTGTGAGTTTTTCCGTCATTTCCTATTTTCTTGAGAAGTGTGAGCTGAGGTTCGGCGACCTCAGGGCCAGTGGAGAGCGACAGGTCCGGGGAAGGGTCAGCGACATTGGTGTTTTTGAAGAGCACGGTTCGTGGGAGAGTGAAGGACGTTCATATGTGGCTGGTTACCGGTGTTTGTTCTGTGTGAGATTATTACATTTGGGAGTTTTTCCGTGATTCCCTATTTTCTTGAGAAGTGTGAGCTGCTTTGTGGGAGTTCGTATGTTGCCTGTTGCACCCCTGTTTGTTCTGCGTGAGCATCTTCGGCAGGTTCTTATGGTCTCCTAGGGCAGGTTCATATGATTATGGGTCGCACAGTTTTTCCCTCATTCTGTGCTTTCTGCGTTCATATGATTATGGGTGGCACAGTTTTTCCCTCATTCTGTGCTTTCCGAGAAGTCGTAGCGGCTAGTCTGCAGGGTTTTTGCCATGGATAGACCCCAGTTAGATGCTGAAAGATAGGACTGATTTTGGCAGGCTGAATGGCACACCTCCTATGGCGGTCCTCTCAAGAGCGGGTGCCATGCAGCATCGAAGGATAAGAACGAGGCTTGGGAATTAATTATAGTGAAGCTTGTTGATGATAGAGCTGAGTGCCACTTGCATTGGACAGAGTACCTGTTTACCTTTCTCACCGGTGCGTGACTGAGTTATGCATCCTCTGCCACTATGGTGGAAATGGAGGGAGTTGAGGGTTGGAACTGAATGTAGGATTGGTTTTGGAAGAGCATCAGGAGTGAGAATTGTTGTTTAGCGTTGCGGATAAGGCAGAGAAAGTGCGTAATTAGTTTGCAGGAAGGGTTGAGTTTTTTGGTGAGCGCGTAATTAGTTTGCAGGAAGGGTTGAGTTTTTTTTTTTTTTTTAATGTATTTTTTTTGTATTTTTTGTTACAAGTGGTTTTGCCAGCCGCAGCTTAGCTTTGGTTGTGGCACAACAGAACAGAAATGTGCGGGGGCATTTCTCTTCGCAGTTAATTTCTTGGTGCTATTTGGGTTGGTTGTGGTGTTATGTCCACGGTGTGTGGTACCATTCGTGTCAGTTGTGTTGTGTAGATTGGGTGCAATAATTTGGGGCTGGGCGGCCACTATGCACGTGAAACATACCCGCATACAATCAGTACACAGTTCCCAAGGGCATTGAAAAAACAAGTGGAGGTGGCTCGGCTATGCCTGGGACACGGAGGAAGAGGATGCAAAGGAGGGCAGATGTGGAGAGGCAGAGAGTGTCTAGGATGGGGTGACGACGTAACAGAGGGTAAGGTAACAAAGGTGTTGGAAGAATGGTGGAGGTAAAGGCGGGGAAGTTTTGAACAGGAAAAGTGGAATAACACATCTTGCGAGTGTGTGAGACGATATTACTCTCTGTCGTCTTCTCTCTCTCTCTCTCTCTCTCTCCCTCCCTCTCTCTCTCTCTCTCTCTCTCCCCCCCCATCCGCCTCATCCCCTCCACTCATCCGGCTTCCCTACACCCTACCTCCTCTTGACCTCCTCCCCACTTCCGCCAAAACTACTCCCATCCTCCACCTGGCCTCCCTGCTCCCTCCACCACACCTCCACCTCTGTGCCTATTGTCCTCCCCAACTGTGGTGACCCTACTGCACCGATCCTCCTCCCCCACTGCGCCTACCCTCATCAAAACTGAACCAACCCTCTTTCGCACTGCACCTACTCCCCTCTTCATGCTCTCTCCCTCTCTCCCTCTTTCTCTCAGGACGTCCCCCCAAACTACTCCCACTCTCCATCCAGACTCCCTGCTCCCTCCATACGTCCTCCTCCCCCAGTGTGCCCACCCTCCACCCAAATTGCGCCAGCCCTCCTTCCCCACAGCACGGACCCTCTCTCTCATGGTCCTCATGCTCTCTCTCTCTCTCTCTCACACACACACACACACACACACAAACACGTCCTCATGCTCTCTCTCTCCCTCTCTCTCTCTCTCTCTCTCTCTCTCTCACACACACACACACACACACACACACACACACACACACACATTGTTGATTATACATGGCCTAATTCTTAGCCCTGCTTTAGAGCATGTGCTGTTTGGGTGTTTACGGGTGGCCACAAGTTCTGTTTGGGGGGAATGTATGGTTTGTGGGCTGGCGCGGAAGACTTTCCCAGTTTTTTCGAACCCTTAGCAGGGGGGTCGGTGTGTTCTTGCTGGAGGAGTCTTCTGTCTTAGGTAAGCTGTCTCTTGTCTTCTTCCTCCTCTTTGGCAGTGATGCGAGTGTGTAGTTTGAAATGAATGTCGGGAATGCCGATGCTGTTGGAGGAGTCTTCTGTCTTGGGTAAGCTGTCTCTTATCTTCTTCCTCCTCGTTGGCAGTGATGCGAGTGTGTAGTTTGAGATGAATGTCGGGAATGCTGATGATGTTATATTTGTTTGTTTTTCGAAATGAGGTTTTGGTTTTGTGGGCCGATGCGGGAGGCTCTCCAAGTTTTTTCGGACCTTTGAGGGGGTCGGGTCGGTGCCTTCTTGCTGGAGTAGTCTTCTGTCTTAGGTAAGTTGTCTTCTGCCCTCCATCCCCTTATGGTTTGACGATATATGTATACATATGTATGTGTGCAAGTGTGCCGCCAAACGGGAGTGTGGGCACTTGGTGCTGAATCACACAAACGTGGCCAACCTTGCATTTTATATTATATTGCCTATCTATACTGCTTTGTTATGGATGGCGTGTGATGATTTGTGAAGGGAATGAGAGAGAGAATCTGGAAATCTTTTACACACACACACACACACACACACACACACACACACACACACACACACACACACAACACAACACACACACACACACACACACACACACACACACACACACACACACACACACACGTCGGTGAAAGGTCAACGAAGCAGTCTGTCACAGTCATGCTTTTTTGAGTGTATAGCGAATATGACAGCACACACACACACGCACACTCTGCTGCAGGCCTGCGTGTGCACCAGACACGAGGTGCAGCTACTTGTGCAGCGTTTGCACGACTAGCAACCGCTCTGAGCACAAGTGCGGCTGATCAGCTTCCGCTTCCCGCATCTAGTCCACCCAGTTCTCACCCCCCTGACCTGCCCCTCTCTCATCCTCCTAGCCCTGCTTGCTCCCCTGCTGCAAGTGACAATGACCCGTCTTCCAATTACCCGATGGAGCCCCTGATTGAAGATCATCTCTCTCTGGAGCGCATACTAGAGCCCATTGATCAAGACCGCAATGAGTCTCCGCCACCTGTGCAATCTGCGGAATTGAACAAATCTCCCCCTGCCGTGAACGAATGTCCTGTGCAACCTGTGGAATCGGACGATGTCATAGCGCTGCTGCGAGGCCGTTGTGCGTACTATGCCATTAATTTATATCTCCTTGCTTACAATTGAACCCTTATAGTGTTTCTGATTTTGCAGACGATCTCCGCTGGATAGAAGAAGAGCACCGTGCCGAGACAGTGCTGCACCTGGTGTGAACACAGAAGTCCTGTCTATGACATTTATGGGTAGGCGATTACGATTCCAGCCTGCTCCACAAAACTACGTGCCAGGCATGGATCCGAATATTCGGGCATATATCTTACATCGTCCACGTCATTTTAGTGCTCTTACCTTTGCGGATAATTCATGGGCCCTATGGGACGATGGCGGTAGGGTGCATACAGCGGGCGGGAATATTAACTCTTTCTGTCACCAAATGGTGGAGGATTACTCAGTCTGGCTCGTCCATCAGGAACAGTATGTTGATGAGCGCTTGCAAGCACTGCACCCCCCGGAGAGCAATCCAGCTGATTCTACCGCGAGCAGTGAAGGGACCTCTTCAGAGGACGGTGGTTGTGCCCTCCCTTTGTGTCGTCGCACAGGTACAGTTCGGTTCGCATGTACACGGCATAGCCTCTGCTCCGAACACTGTGAAGGGATGGTTGCTGCTAGTATCTCCCACGAAAACTGTGATCCCCCCCCCCCGGCCCCCTCCCCGCCCCTGATTACCTGCCCAGCATGCCGCTGTGGCCTTGATCTGCCATACTTAAATAACTGTGCACATCAGCCTTCCATACTGATGACATGTCAGCAACATGCCATATGTGATGAGTGTTTTCGGGAAGCTGTCATACAAAGTACATGTCTTTACTGCGTGGACTATCCCCTGTGCCGTCATCCTCCACATCCTCTCCTAGCATGTCCCACATGGAGTGTTGGTCATACACCTACGGCAACCACAGACGGATCTCCCTCTTCCTTGCCAGACGAACGACAGACTCAGCAGCCCGAGGAGGAAAATAGAAATGTGTATGAACCATCTGCAGAGCGATGTGCTGATAGTTTGTCACCACCAGGACTAGCTGTTGCGGATCAAATCCTGTAGCAGCTGAACACCCTTGCTTTGGACTGATCCCCCCTGTCATTGTCTGCTGCCCATAGAGACGGAATAAATACCGAGGAAACCCAAGAAATATGCTCCATGCCGCTTTGTGATGACCCGCCGGAGATTCAACTAGCATGTCGTTCGCGTGCCTTGTGCCGTGATGATTATGAAGGGATAGTCCATGCGAGCTTTTGCTTTTATATGTATGACAACAGTCAGTACTGTACTCATGTACGGCACCCTGACATGCCGTGTCCAGTTTGTAGACGGGCTGGAACAGCAATGCCCTCTATGGCTGTGGTCGACATGCCTCCGTGTTCCTAGCATGTAGGGGCCACGTAGCCTGTGACATCTGTCTGCGCTCCGCCATTCGATGCAGCAACTGTGACTGCGGAAATTGGATGCGGTGCGTCCATAGTCCACGCCGAACCGGTCTTGTCCGGTCTGTAGGCTTGGCCACTTACCATAGGCAGTAGCTCTGCTCAAGGCAAAATGCTATGCATCCGAAATACTTAAACTGAGACGTGCCATTCTATAGTAGTCTGTTCCAGTGGTGAGTATTTAGAATTCTGCAAAGTTCGTCATATGCCTCCGCCCTGCCCTTTGCATGTCATACTCTCTCCTGCCCTTTGCACTCCACCTCCCCCTATCCCGCACTCCTATAGAACTCTGCCTTCTATCCCTTTCCCTCCACCCTCGCCTTTTGTGCTACTAGGAAATAGATGCGGACTAGCATCATTAAGAGAACAGATGATATGAACATCTGAAGTGAGATGAACAGGAGTATGAAGGACGGACACAAAGACGAAGAATAAGCTGAAGATCTGAAGTGAAATGCACGGGAGCTTACCTTCCCCTTTACTCTTGCTCCTGTTATAACGTGCAAGTGGGGCGTTAAGGCAGGCGGGGATGTGGGTAGGTGCCGCTTAACCACGATCAACGTGGGCAGCCTTGTCCGGGCGAGCCATAGTTAAAGAGGAGCTGTTGTCCCGTTTCCCCAACTGAGCACAGTTGCAAATGGTTCTCGCCGCTTCTCGGACCCCGCATCTTTTAAAAAGACAGGCAAAGCATCTCCGCCGCTGATCTTCATAGATCATTGGAGGAGAACTGCCACACGCTTTTTATTAGATGCAGGGCTAAATAGACCCTATGTCTTGTTGGCATCCTGTGGTCCTCATGCCATTGGCAGCCTGGTACACATCCAACCCGAGCGAGAAGGTACGCCTTAGGATGATGATGTGGCGTTGCTGAGATTATATGCTTCTGCAACGTCCCTATGCACGGGAAGAAAAGTTATGGGTTTGGGGTCTTGGCTCATGAAGCCAGAGTAACTAACAAATATGTCCGAGGTCCAAGCTTTTTAAGAATGGACCTCGTTTTGCAACATGTATCTGGACAGTCTGCCAGGCAAGATACTTTCGGACTGATGACCCACTATGTTGAAAAAAAAGAAAAGAAAACGCTCTGCCTGCACGAGCTGTTACCTGAACCCATCATGTTTTCGCTGTCGAGCTGTACTCTGGAAGAGCTTTTCCCAACATGGTTCATTCAGCCTCCTGTCCTGGGTTTCAATCAGTAATGGCATCGCCCTCGACTCCCTTCCATGGTAAATTGAAAGTTTGGAGCCACGGGGGTTTGGATGAGTGAACTTGTTTACTTGACCCCTTCCACCCAAAAGCCAATAATACTTCCCTCGGCTCCCTTCCATGGTAAATGGAAAGTTTGGAGCCAC